AATTTTGCACAACAAAAAACATACCTCAGTAACTGTAGGAGATTACAAATCAGAACCAAAAAGCTTGAAAGATATGTCAAAATTTTAAGCTGCCTTCATAAATGCCAACAAAAAATTCCAGTCTTTTAGAATTTTGAGCGATTTCACTGTTCGGAAATTTTAAAAATTCCCGTATTTTTCATAATATGAAGCCTACTCTTAGCAGCAATTCTACGAACAAACAAACGTAAAAGTCCTCAACTTCACTGCCCCAGTGGGCTGGAGTTCATCGCTGTGAGGGATATAGACGCTGAATTTACTTTCCGTTACATTCTTGCTTGCATTGTATATTGAACTCATATTTTTCATTTCACCGGTGTATACGCGTGCATACGTCAACTGGCCACGCCGCTTGTCATGGCCAATCTGTAATGCAACAAACGCTATGCTCAGCTTCACAGCCTGTGCTTTTCTCAAAACGATTTCCATATATGTATATTTGAAATGATCAAAAATCTAAGAAAATGCTTCTCCTTAACTCTGTTCCTTTTATTTCTCCACAAAAATCGCAGTCGCTTCCCTTCCCCCCTCCCCATCCCCAGGCAATTCCTCTTGTAAATCAAACTTCTCCGCAATTTCAAATTTTTTGATCAAACCAAAGAAAATACCCGTTTTTTTTTAGTTACGTTATAGCAAACAACTCATAACTTGCAAGGGGAAAAATTCATCACTTTTTTTTTTTTCAGAACAGTCCGTTTGAATAGGATCAAAAGGCATACCTTAAATACTAAGGCGCTTAAACTGTTTTCAAAGACTCTCCTGATAAGTTCATGCCTTTCCGCCGGATGAGGAAGACAGCTGACCACCAGGTCAAGGATCGGGCTCACACTTTGCGCACATCTGCAAACAACACGATCATTGCTCAGTGTTTGTTGTTCGTTCACACATTATGAGTGGAAAAAAATCGAGTCTTGCTATGAAACTGTAATTCACGGGAAAAAACATGCGAGAGGAATAAAGAAAAACCTCAGGGCTGAACCACAAGCAACCGGAACTGCCTGACGAGATAAAGTGAGTCGGCGTAGAGCATTTAATGCCTCTGCATTCAATGCGCTACTACTTCCGTCACACTGCAAAAGTACTTCGGCAAAGTGATCATCGACATCCGCCAACTTTGACAGCATCTCTTCTCGTCCGTCCATCATTTGTCCGTATCTGAAAGAAACGAAGAATTCATTCAATTCATCCAGCTCCATCACTATGAGAACTAATTTTTGTTAAAAAAAAAAAAAAACCAATCTGGAATATTTGTGCCACTAATATGCACCTCAAGAAAAATGACAATTAACGGCTATTAGAAGGCCGAATCATAAGTGAACGGTCCAAGTGGAGCAGCTGGATTGGGTTAAATTGATAATTTGCAACCTTTGGTAGGCCGAACCGTAATTTCTGAAGTAAACAGTCCGCCCGGGACGTGGAAAACATGGCACTGCCGTAACCAGTGAATTCTAATGTAGGGTGGAAATAGTGAAGAGATCATGAACGGGAAAATAGTAGGGCTGTTAATGTGGTACAAACTGTGTGAATTTTACTCAGAATGAAAACTTACAGTGAGTCAGTTTCATTTAGATCCATCCACTGCGCCTCATCGCCTAATGTACAGTTCAAATAACGTTTGTTAAGCGTGTCCAAGACTCCAATAAAACCTCCACCTTTAGTGCAGATCGGTAAACAGATCTGAAATACATCGGTTACCAGTAATCAAAAGATGCAAAATACCGAAGAGAAAAGTGACATTTCCAGGTTAACAAATGAGCCAAACCTAATCCGAGATTTCTGCTTACTTTCTTTCAACTCGATCAATTGATTTTATGCATTTGTAAAAAAGCTGTGGTTATCCAGAAAAATCCAGCAGATTGCTTCAAAACAGTCTCGAGCAGTCAACTAATTCAAAAAAAGAACCCCTTCTCCTTTCCACTGTTCCCTTCGTTTTGATTTCTTTCTTCCTGTTTTTTTCTTACACTTGTTTCCTACAC